TTCTAGGTTTAGAAAGCCAATCCTGTGGTTTAAAGTAAATGGATATTCATTCAGGAACTATGTGCAATAAGGAGGCAGGCACTATTCTAGACACTAGAAATACATCGGGAACAGCGATCCTGTTCCAATGGAGTCTGCATGCTAAAACAGAAAGTACTGAGGTCTTCGACACACTAAATGTTATTTAAAACTCATTTCATAAAGCTCTATAATAAAACACAACCATGTAAGCAAACACCCATAGCCAGGAAGTAAGATGTAAGAGAGAAAATTTTATTTGCATCATCCATCTTCAAAAAATGCTCTGACAATAATTTTAGAGGCTGCTTAACATTTAGCTCAACTTTAAATGAGTTAGTCATGTGCACACGGAATAATCAAAGAATATTCTCCCTAAAGCATCTACACACAGAATCATGTGCTTAAGTGCGTGTGTATGCGTGCGTATGCGCACACACACACACACACACACACACACACACTAACCTTTAAAAACTGTGAATGTGTAAGATTTAGGGTATAAAACCACCCCCTTCTGGGATTCACAACTTCCCTGTATCCTAATTGGGAATTTAAAACTTGGAGAAGCAAAAGTAAATTTAAGTCACAAGGACCCCAAAATCAAGGCAGGATAGACAAGAAATAAGTGTACAATAAACCTAATTAAAATACAATCCATTGTAGCATAATATTGTTAAATAAGACTTTCTCTAAAAGGCATACTCTAAAGAAAGTAATATAAACTGAGTCCAGTATTTCACAGCCTAGGATCTGGGCTGAGCCGAAGGGACTCAGAGAGGAACTTTCCAACACTCTGCTGTCGGCAATGGGCAAGGACACGGCACAAAGGACTGTGTCAGCTTGTGTGCAAACAGTGCTTCAATTGTGGCGGCAGGCTACCATTTCAATATTTGAGTACTGTGCAAGCCGTATGACTAGCAGTGCCGGCTGCGAGAATATTCTGTGCACGTGCACTCTCCCAGTTAATTGACAAAAGAAAAGAACTCATCCAAAGAGAATCCGGCCAGTCCCTGCTGCAACCCCGGTCACACAAGCACAGTGCAGGCACAGCACAGGCACCACAAATGAAAACAAAAGGTTGGGCGTGGTGGCTCATGCCTGGAATCCCAGGGCTGCCTGGGCTGTACAGAGAGACCTGTCTCGGAATAATAATGACAAGTCTAATGGCTAACACATTGAGAGTCCCCTAACATCAGGTGCTCTGCTCAGTGCTACACTTTAATATCACATTCTTTTCCTGTCTTTTGTTTTGTTTTTTGAGACAGGGTTTCTCTGTGTAGTCCTGGCTGTCCTGAAACTCACTATGTAGACCAAACTGGCCTCGAACTCACAGAGATCCATCTGTCTCTGCCTCCCAAGTTTTGGGATTAAAGGTGTGCATCAACACTGCCCAGCTTTAATATTAAATTTTTTTACCTTTCTAATTGATTTATTTACTGCTCATTGTTTTTATTGAGCTATATATTTTCTCCACTCCCCTCCCTTCCTCCCCAATTCCCTTCTACCCTCTCCCATGACCCCCATGCTCCCAATTTACTCAGGAGATCTTGTCTTTTTCTATTTCCCATGTAAATTAGAAATATTAAATTTTTAAACCACCACAAATTCTCAATTTTAAAAATTGGTAGACATAATTTAATAGTCAGGGAGTGACAAGAACTGGTATCCAATCCGATGGGACTGCAAACTGTCTCTGGACTCTACTGTCAAACAGCCTTCTGCGGAGGAAACTGAGGCAGCTCTGCTGACACACTGGTCCGAGGGAAGGGACTTTTCCCCACTCAAAAGAACCTGGCTGGTTCTGGAGGCACTGGGATTCCCTTCTGAAACCGCACCGTTTGCAAGGCTTTGCCTCCCCTGTGGCCTTTGGGCTGGAGGTGGATCACACACAGAGCACGAAAACAAGGGGCGCGTGGCAGCTCCATGCTGCAGTTTAGGTTACTGAAGGGTCCTGGTTTTACCTATCATCCTGAGGGAACTGGGTAATCCTTACTTATTTTTGGTTATGATTATAGGGGTTTGTTATATTATTGTCTGTTCAGCTGATTTCTTGAAACAGGCTCGGGCTAGCCTCAAACTTAAATTTGAGATCTTCCTACCCAGACTCCTGGGTAAAATACTAATAAATGCTAAAGTCCCTGGCTCTAGCATTATATGGCATTATTGTAAAGTCCTTATTGCTGCATTACAGAAGCAAATGGTATTTAAGTAAGAAAAAAAAATAATTTTTTTCCTGCAGCTTCTATCTGACAGCAGCGCTAGAGGGAGAAACCAACACCCTGGTAGCTCTTGTTTGGATCTCACACACACTGAATGCACACAACCGAGGAACAGGTGTGCCCCCCCACCCCACCCCCACCCCCCGCTCAGATTATTTCAGAACAGGCATTTGGAAGGGTTAGGCCTGGTGTCCAAGACATCTGTTTACACGTTACAGAGCGGACCTTCTGGAGCTTTCCAAGGGAAAGTTTGCTAAACTTTCTAATCGTGACTGTTGTAGAAGCTAAAGCAGCAGTTGATCTTCCCAAGGACAAGACAGTTCCTTAAGAATCATGCCTGTTCTCTCGGTGTGTGTCTGTTAAAAACTGGCCTCAGAGACTAATAACAGGGGCACATCCTACAATCCCAGCACTCCTAAGAAGAGACAGGAGGATAAGCAATTCAGGTCAGCCTGAGCTACATAAGACCTTCTCTTTATAACAACAACAACAACAACAACACATTTTAAAAGAAGAAGAAAAGAAATGTTGGGCTGAGGGCATGTCCATAGCAGATAAAGCTGTTTAACTCCTGAGCTGGAGCCTCTAACAAAAGACGGCAATCTCCCTAGGCTGCTGATGCTTTTTTTAAAAATTTGCTTACTTTTATTTTATGTGTGCAAGACTTCCACCCGTATAGTGCGTGTTTATACACTATGTCTTAGCCTGGTGCCCACAGAGGCCAGAAGAGGGTATGATATCCCCCTGCAACTGGAGTTAAAGGTGGTTGTGACCCACCATGAAGGTCCTGTGAACCAAACCCAGATCCTCTGTAAGAGCAGTCAGTGCTCTGAACTGTCTAGCCATGATGTCCCCAGCCCTTAACAGAAGAAAAGCAATGATGGTGAGCTCAATCCTTCCTATTTACTGAGCACACCCTATGCTTTGGTTACAAAAATGAATACACCATAGTCCTTAGGAAGCTGACTCTCTGAGTGTGAGGGGAGACCTGGTGTATTTTGATGAACTTTATGCGGGTGGAGGAGACAAACTGGAAGTGGGGGTGCAGAGATGAGTGAAGTAGAAAGATGGCCAAATAAATGCAAATAAGCCGGATAGTCCCTGAGGCCCACTGTCCCAGACTGGCTTCCCTCTTTCCTACTTGGTGGACCTACCAATTCCCTTCCAAGGCTCCCCTATGCCACCTCCTTCTGAGCTCCCCGGACAGCCATGCCTCTGGGCTGGCTTCCATCCACCCAGCTGGATCCCAAGCCTCTCCTTGGCCCTCCACAAAGCGTACCCACATCTCTGATCAACATCTCCAGCTTACTGACTGGCACCTCCAACCTAGCACTTAGGGCCCGAGCTGAACGCAGCTCTGTCTCATCTTTACGCTCTTAATTACAGCCCCCATGATCTATTGCGAACCTGAGAGCCAACTACGACTCCTGGCTAACTCTCCCCCAGTTGTCTGGTTGGTCCTTGAGATCTCCAGCTTCCACCTATCTTCTCTCCATCTCTCCATCCCAGAGCAAAGGCGGGTGGCTACAGTCTGCATCTGAGCTACTGTTCGATCAACCGCAAGAGGACTCATTTAGGCAAAACCACACCTTAGTCTAAATAGCCTATGTTTATCTTCCCCGTTCCTATCTAGGTAAGTCGAAACCTTTTAACATCAAAATGCCTCTGTTACTCTTATAGGAACAAGGATTTGCAGCCTGACTGGACCCCTTTGCCTAGCCTTCAAGTCGCAGCTCAGATATTACTTTCTCTGGGGAGCTTTACCTCCGCTGCTTCCCCACACACACACACACTCCTATGAGAACAAGCATTCGGGCCTGCCTTCTCACTGGGCCTCCATACGGGGGTGAGCTACTGGAACCTCTGTACAGCTGCCACTTAAAAGTTTTCAAATGATCAACTGATTTTTTTCCAGAACACAGTCTAACTATTCCTGACTTCGTATGAACTACAGTATCTACGTGGGGTTTCCAAATATAACAAGAGTCATTTAAGAGCCATTTCTTCTTTTTCTTAGCCATGGTCCAAGGAGCCAAACACAGGGAGGGTCCCAAGTCTAGAGTTCTTTCTCTTAAAGTACTTACAACAGAACTTTAAATTTAGGACCTTGTGGGGATGGGTGAGGACGCCACAACTTCCTGCTTTCCTACGATTACTGTAAAAGACAATTAGCGCTTACAGTTTTACGTGTGCTTTTGGCCACAGCCACTCTGAGTGCAGACTGTGCTGTTAGACCCATGGTTCTGATGGAGGAACTGGCACTCAGAGATATCAAATAACTTGCCTAAAGTTATAGAACTAGTTGGTGAAGAAATTAAAATTCAAACTTCTGGCAATACGACTCTAGAATCTCCACTTGGGCAACAGAAAATAGAAAATGAATGTTGTACAGATGAATAACTCCATGCACGCATGCATGAAGACAGAAGACTGACCGGACTGACCCAACCAGGCTTTGATAGTAAGTGGGAATTTGGATAACGCAAAATACATGCATATTTGATTCTCCACAGCCTTTATGGAAGACGCGGGACTCAAACACGTTAAAAAGATAGACATTGTAAATTCTCTTAGGAGTGCCCCCAAGGAGTAAGACTTTGACTCTGATCTCTTCCTCACTAGGAGGGGAGCTAGCAGATTCACCATCCAGCAGGCACAGACAGGACTTGTGTCCAGTGTCAGGCAGGCTAGGATACACAGCCACCATAAGGTAAGGAGGGACGACATGCCAGAGAAAGTGCAGCCTCGTTTGCAGCTTACCTCCCTCAGCTCCAGTCTCTGGGCGACAGCTTCTAGGCTCTCCTGGCCGGTGCTCTCCACAGACAGAGTGAACTCCACAAATTCATTATTGAGCAGCTGGATCCGTGCAACCAAGCAGCTCTTGCTGGACACAGTATAGCGCCGGGTGCGTTTCAATTTCAGTCCAAACGGCAGTGGCATCTTCTCCCTTCGACAGTGGAGGGACCAGGAAGGAGCAATCCGGCAGTGCTGGAGACAACCAAAAGAGACCCTCTCTCGTCAGAACAAACTCTAGTCTCCAGCTGCTCACCCCACAGCCGCCACCGTCATTAAAAAGCAACCGAGTCTCCGAAGACCAAGCGATGGGAGCATCCACACCAGCGCTGAGGAAAGAGGGAAGCTGTTACTATGGACTTTGCCATTAAAATTTTAAAAAGAAAAAAAAAAAACAGATGTAACTGAATCTAAGGAATAAGCTCTGCCTCGGCGCTGGAATAGGAAAGCTCTAACAGGGAGGTACCAGGAAAGTTTATCAGGAGGGTTGAGGGTGGGGCCCAGGGTCAGACCCCACCCCTCATTCTACCTCAGTCACTTCTGGAGATAGCAGTCCGGGCTGTTAGGATTAAATGAGATAATACCCAGCACGTCTAGAACTACAAAAACATTTGTGGTCGTCTTGCTAGTTTGGAGGAAAGGTTGTTTTTCATAGGTAACTATCTTGAGTTTCCCAAGACTTAGGTGTCTTCAGTTCCCGACTGTGTTTAAGTGCAGAACCGGTTCTTCAGGCAAATTAAGCCTGTACCCCAAATGGGGAGAATAATCCCATCTTTCTAACATATGGCAACTGTGAGGTTCAAAGGAGATGAAGTGCTTAACAAGAATTTCTAAAGCCCCTTCAGGTTCATCATTAACATCATCATAAAGATTTGAGTATAAACAAGTTATAAGCACCCTAAAGATGCTCCTTCTCGGATCATAGCATTCTGAAAAGCGTGTTCTGGACTCCTCTCCCGGGTAGGGACACCTAAGGAGGCTGTGGACGCTCACCTAAAGAGAAGGGCGAGGTCCTAAACGCCATCCTGGTTAAAGAGAGCAAGCAAGACTGGGCAAGCCCTTGTAGCCAAATGCAGCGGAGGGCCTCAGCTCCGGAACCTCCGAGTCCCCTCCCTGGGAGAAAAGCAAGCGGTGTTGCCTGGCCAACGGGGAATGTCGGAAGCCTCGCGAGCCCCGGAACCCTCCGCCTGCGGCCCCGTTTCCGGGCGGACGTGCTCCAAAGGGACCGGCCCCCTGTGATCGGAGGAGGGAGGATTTAAAGGGGCCGGCGTTAGTCCTCCAGGCAGGGAGAGATTGGTCGAGCAGTTTGAGGCTGTGTCCACGTCAACAGCAGCCCCCAAACACGCTACTTTTTTAACCATACTTGTTGATGGTAACTTCTGCGGTGAGATAAACTGGGGGCGAGCGACATCTCGGGAGTCTTATGTCAACTAGAGTTATTTTCTCCGAAACAATTTGACAAAAATCTCAGCTATTTCCACCCCTCGCACTGCGGTCAGTCTCACCCTCCGCCCCTTCCTCCGGGGATGAATCCTTTAGCCTGGCAGGGTCCTAGCTGATTACCCGATTTGGGTGCGAGACCGCGCAGTGGGGCAGTCTGTCCCTAAGCCTCACCAGGCAAACAGAGCCCAGGCCTCGGCAGAAGCAGCTCTCTCGGTCTCACGCTCACGGGAACCTAGCTGGGTATCCTCCGGCTTTCTCCACTGCTCCCAGCCTTCTTTTCTGTCCTGCTCGCCAGCCTGAGACTCAACCCCAGAGGTTTTGAGCACTCAGGCCTGCGGAAGGACTGAACTAGAAAATGAGGTTTAGACTTCGCCAGACTTAACGTCTTGGAGTTCCGTTCCACAAGTGTGCGCTGCCGTCTCTGAGCACAAGGCTCAGTTGATGAGCATCTTGAGGAAATCTAAGACGAATCCTAAGCCGCCTCTGCCCTTAAGGAGATTACAGGCATCTATAATTATATTCAGAGCTGTATTGCTAGCAGGGACACGATCAAAGTTTCTAAATTTTTTTTATGTTTTGCTTTTTGGAGCTCTTATAGTGAGGTGATCTCCCAGCCACCATTCCGGAAAGATAAAACAAGCATAAAAACAAGGGGCAGAGAGGAATGCCAGAGGGACGAGTGGAACCTACAGCCTTAGGTTAACATTTGCTGAATGCCTTCCTTGGGTAAAAGCACTGTTCCATAGAAGGAACGGGGGAGGGGGGCTATAATAAGATAGAATTTCTATCTGCAATATTTTTCAAAGTTCTTTGTTGTTTCCAGGGTATAAACAGATGAAGCAGAAATTTTTTTTTAATAAAAGCAAGAAATTGAAAACACGTTAAAAAAAAAAAAACCCACACCTTAAACAAGCTTTCAACCAGAAGAGAGACCAATAATGTTTCTGTAAATTTAAAAACAAAAACCATGGGTAGTATGCAAGGTATTATCGCAAGAGACAAAGTTGTAGGTTTCAGACTTACAAATTGTGGTACTGGAAACATTAAGCAACGTGCAGAAAAAGATAGCTTCATATGTCCAAAGGGAAGGCATCTTATTGGACCCTGGCAGATGTGTTAATGTCTTCACTATGAAGATGGAACTGTGTCTTAAACACAGTATACTATACTACATAGCTTAATCATTAACTCTAGTCCTGATTAGGTAAACTCAAATTTCCAGTTGTTCCTGAGATTGGAAATGTTTTACAGCATTGGGGATGAGGAAAAGCCATTTTTTTTTTCCTCTTTTCTTTTGGCAGTTGTTATAATTTGCTTGTTATATTTCTGTGTTTTTCCTCCTAAGAATATCCGGTTTCTTGATTACTCATATAAAACCCACTGTGGCAAAAGTCCTGCTTAGTAACTTTAAAATTTATAATTGATGACTATATCTTAATGATATCATAAGTTCTGTTTGACTCCTAATGCCAGGAAGTAGAAATTTAAGGTACTCTGGGGAGAGCTGATTCAGGTGTCAACTACTAAATGAAATAGGTTATAAACAGCCTTTAAAGGAGAAAAACAGTATAATTTCTCTACAAAACTATTCCATTGCTGAATAAGAAAAATATGCATATTAAATTCTGCTTCATAGGTTTGCAAACGGCAGTGTGCTCTGTTAGTGAGTTTATTTTTATTTTCTTGTCCATAGTCTCCTCCAAACGTTTCTCAAATTCACTTTAAGCCTGAATCTCACGGGATACCCACCCCAAATCACTCACCACATGTTCCTGGAACTTTGCCACTATTCCTTTAGCATTAAATAATCACTGAAAAGGAAGTATCTGGCATTTTTAGAACTTGAAATGAATCCTATGTCTCTCACAAAACAACACTTGTGCATTGGTAATCTACAGTTAAATGGCCTGCAAACAAAACAACTATTTTCAGAGTGAAATTGCTACACTAAAAAAGAAAAAGAAAACGAAATCTGTCGGTAATTATTAGCTCGTAAATGTTCCGAGCGCGTTTTCTAGCATTATCAATTATCATAAGGTTTTCTCATCGGGGGCTGGGGCTAAGACTGGCGTGCTCAGAGAGGCCAATCTAATCAGGGTTTGCAGAAATCACCGAAATTTGCAGCTCCAAGAATTCTCCAGGAGTAAAGGCGCTTTACTCCAAAACCGAAACAAGGAGTTGCCAAACAGTCCTTCCTTTATGCCCCTTGTCGTCAAAGTTATCCGGCAACTTTCATACTCCACATTCCGAGATAGTCCACATATTCCGAGAGGCACAAATATGCCCAAGATTTCAAACTCTGATCCAGAATTAAACCGCAGTCATCCGCGGAGGAGTCCGGAATAGACGTTCCAGACTCTTTTTAGAAATGACTCTAGATCAGAGCGAGCCTACGAAGCAGACTTCGCTCTTTGTTACGCCCCTGCCCGAATGCCCCGCGCCTCACCTGCTCCCGCTCCCGCCGGGTCCGGGCGGCGCGCCGGCTCTGCGTCCCGCCTCCCCGGGCTCCGCTCGCCCGCCTGCGTCCGGGCCCGTGCACCGACCGCACACCTTGCCCGCACCCGCCCGGCCGCGGCGGGACTCGCTGGGGAAGCTCAGGGGCTGGGGCCGGAGCTGCGGGGCCCGCGTCCCTCCCCCTGGGCCGGGCGCGCGGATCCGGGGAGGCGGCGGCGCGTGACCTCAGAGAGCTGGAATGCGGGCGGCGGGGCGCGGGGGAGGCCGGACAGCTGCGCCCGGCCGCCGGGGAGGGGGCGCGCCGCTGCTGTTTTTAACCGTGTGACCAGTTATTTTAAGTTTCAAAAAAAAGCATAGCTTTAAGAAATAAAAAAAAAAAATTTAAAGGGAGGGGGACGTTATTTTGGGTCCAGGTAGAAAGGGATCTGGTGCTTTATTTGAGTGGTGGTCTGTAAAGTAACTGGGGTTACTGGTGTATTATTGTACATTGCTGAAGACGGTTCAAAACGTTCTACACCCCCTCCCCCCCACCCCCCGCCGCCCTTAGTGCCTGCACCTCCAGTAAGTACACACCGCTCCTCCGTAGGAACTCGAGAGAAGCGGACGGCTGACACAAATGGGCATGGAGCTGGAGGTACTCCTTCCTCGGAATCCACTTGATAGGGAACGCAGAGCGTGCTGGAGAGGAGAGTTCTAGAAATAAGGGTGACCAGGGAAGCCATTCTAGATCTAAAGTTCTGATAGCTGAGCTTTACCTAGGGGACCACTGGGAAGGACTAACAAACCCGAAAGGTAGCTATGGGAGTAGTTTGGAGGGAAAGAGAAGTGGGGAGCTGACCCCACCCCCACCCCAGACAATTGAGACTCCTGGGGAACAGGATCCCCCAGAGAGAACAGTATGCATACTCAGTGCAGAATCAAGCTCTGGGATCAGATTGTTTGGATTCAAATCCCAGCTCCAACCCTTACTGGCAAATTCCTTAGCTTTTGTGGACTTGCTTCCTCTTCCCAAAGCTGGGAATGATCGCGATCCAGACACCTTGAGTAAAATACGCGCGGAAGGTTTCACTCGGTTCTAGGCCCAGCTACTAGTGCTCATTAGTACACTGGATTTTTGCTGCCCCTCATCGTGGGCACGTGGCATCAGCTCCTCAGTGTCTTTCCCTTTCAGCTACCCCATGGTTAGTTACCTCTCTCTCTCTGGTTTTTTGGTCCTGGCCAGTGATCGCCCAAGGTGAAGTTCAGCTAGCAGACCGCTAAGGGTGATCTATCATGGCTGGCCCCCTCACCACCCTAACTGCTCTCTTCTTCCCGGCAGGCCTGCTGCTCCCCATCCAGAGGCTCTGGGCGGCACCTCCAGACCCTTCCCATGTGTGTCGGCCGTCCACACCTCTCCAACCCAATCCAGGACTCTACTTCCAAGACACAGTTCTAGCCACCCTGTAGCTGCGGCACTTGGCAGGATTATTAAAAATGGTTTCACGGAGGCTTCTTTTCTATCTCCTAGAATTACGAGGGAAGTACTGGGCAGACAGTAGGCACTAAATAAAAACGTGTTAATTGAATCGGGAAGAAAATGAAAGAATTTTAAAAATAGAAAATGATCATAAAACCCAAGTGGTGCTTTAGACAACTGAGCTGAACTCCTTCACAGCCTACAAATGTCAGCTCCCAGTCACGCACGTAAGCTCTATTTTCCCTCGTGTTAATTTGGCAGAAACATCCCCGCAGCAAAGCAGGAGGACAACCCCTCCCAAGTATTAGGTGTAAGACAACCATTAACTTACACTTCCTCCAAAAGAGAGTGAGGTCATTTATATAGTTCAACCCCAACATACACAAAATAACTAAGTAAAAGCCTTACCAGCCTACCTGCTGGACTTCCAGCTCTTCTGGAGATGGTAATTTGAGTCCTCTGTATCTGCACAGAGAAATGGGCTATTATACACACACATGTACACATGCTTACTTCTTTTTACCCAGAAAGTGCTACATCATACACTCCTGCAATTGAAGGTAATTCTTTTTTTTTTCTTTTTTTTTTTAAATATTTATTTATTATGTATACAACATTCTGTCTGTATGTATGTCTGCAGGCCAGAAGAGGGCACCAGACCTCATTACAGATGGTTGTGAGCCACCATGTGGTTGCTGGGAATTGAACTCAGGACCTTTGGAAGAGCAGGCAACGCTCTTAACCACTGAGCCATCTCACCAGCCCCCTTGAAGGTAATTCTTTTCTTCGTTTTTTGTTTGTTGTTTTCTAGAGACAGGATTTCTCTGTGTAACCTTGGCTGTCCTGGAACTCAAGCTGTAGACCAGGCAAAAGTTATTATTATTATTTTGGTTTTGAGACAAGTTTTTTTTTGGTGTGTGTAGCCCTGGCTGTCCTAGAACTCAGAGATCCTTCTGCCTCTGCCTCCTGAGTGCTGGGATAAAAGGCGTGAGCCACCATCACCGAGCAGTAATTTTTATTAAAATATACAAATACAAATTAGAAAGAGTGCTGGAAAGATGATGGTTCAGCAGGTACAGGCAAACACTGTTCTTTCAGGGGGCTATGTTCAATTCCTAGCTTCCATGTTAGGCGGTTCATAACCTGCAACTCCTAAGGGGACCCTACACCTCTAGTGTCTGCTGTACCTGCACTTGTATGCACATATCTACCCCTTTCACATACACACAAACAATTAAAGATAAATCTTCAACAAAACTGTAGGAAGGAAGGAAGGAAGGAAGGAAGGAAGGAAGGAAGGAAGGAAGGAAGGAAGGAAGGAAGTTCTGACATGAAATAACGAAAGATAAAATTACAAGCAGGGACGAAACCGTGGTCTGAGAGATCCACTGACTGCTACTTTTTAACGATGTATTTTTGTGCATATACATGTTTGTTTGTATGTATGTGTGTGCACATGAATACAAATGTTTCTGGAGGCTGGAAAAAGACTGAATGCCCTAAAGCTGGAGTTGCAGGCCCAATGTGGACGCTAGGAACCCAACATGGGCCTCTGCAAGAACAATGCACGCTCTTCATTGCCTCCAGCTCCTCAAACAGTATTTTCTTAGGAATTCAGTTCATTTGCTTTGGTATCTTGGTGACCATCCATCATATATTACTACATGAATTATCATTCACTGTAAGAATCCAGACTTGCTTCAGCCTACAAAGACAAGAATGCCTAGAGAGGGCTGGAGATTAGAACCAACAAACGGGAGATGTTAGGGCTGGAGAGATGTCTTGGTGGTTAAGAGCACCTGTTGCTCTTGTAGAGGGCCCCGGTTCAATTCCTAGCACTCACATGGTAGCTCCAAGGCATCTGTAGAGCTGGTTCCAGGAGCCCTGACAGGTGCAATCACCCTTTTTTCCTGAAATCTAGGCCCTTATCTCTGACTCCCTCACTCAGTGCAGCTCTAGGTACAACACCTCCACACATTCAGGAGCAGTGATTTTTGAAAGTGATGTTGGCCACATTTGCATATAAATGGCCAGGACAACAGAAAGGGTGCCAGCCTCATAAGCCACAGAGACTGACCTGTGTGACGGCGATTCCCAACACTCACACTTGGGCTTCGTTTTCAACAATTTTATTTATTGTTTTCGCGGGCCAGGGTGGGGCTGTTGCATGGAGGTCAGAGGACCACCGTGTGCAGCTGGCTCTCCCCACGCATCTTTACTCACATTCCAGAGACTGAACTCAGGTGTCCAGACTTGCATCACGGGAGGGACACAGTGCTGTCGCCCGCAGGCCCCAAGCATCTCTAGATTCTGCCCCAAAGGCAGACATACCATTTGAGATTCAGTACTGAAGAGAAGCATCTGTTCTCTCGACCTGTACTAGAAGCCGGTGTTTTGTGGAGAAAGACAAACAAGATGCATGTCTTGCCCCCTCAAGGACTCATCCTGTGAACAACAGGCGATGTGAAGTAAGAAAACTTACACAAAGGTAGAACCCAAACGGATTGATAATGCCTAGGTAATCATTGTGAGGATCCTGTATGAGTCTGGAAAGACAAACACAAGGTCACTAAACATTCAAGGAAAATAAAAGCATTCCAAGCTGGGGAAAAACAACCACCTCTGCCTCCCTTCTTCCACACACTGGTAAAGCAGGCTCTCGTGCGCTCTCTCTCTCTCTCTCTCTCTCTCTCTCTCTCTCTCTCTCTCTCACACACACACACACACACACACACACACACACACACACATACACACCATAAAATCCCTCTGAAATGTAGTCCTGAAGGGAGACTGGAAACACAGGGGGCACCATTGTTAGAGAACTTAGGCTTTGCGGAGCTGAAGCTGGCACTCAGGCCCTGCCAGCTTCATAACCAAGGCTCTTTTTCAGTTGGCTCCTCTATCTGGAAGGTGGCCAAGAACCCTCTTAGCTGGCACTGTAGTTCATTGTGATCTGGCCCTCATACTATCCCTTAGGAGAAAAATATGTCATTTGTCATGGCCAGTTTATTCCTTTGTAAGACTAATACTTCCAGTCCCTTCAAGATGTGGACTGTGAGGTTGCATCTTACAGGGAAGCACCCTGAACAGCCTCCAATCCCCGAGTGGCTTAGTGGGGACACTCTCTCTCTCTCTGACTCAGACTCTCTATCATCTGAGATCTGAACATGTCTGAGTTCTCAAATACCCTGCAATTCTCTTCCAGAAATGTAAGCTGATTGTCCTAAAAAGAGAACCCTGTCTTCAGCACCTTCAACAAATTCCTTGTTATAAATTAAAAACAAAACACAACAGGATCTTGCTGTGTTGCCAGGTTGGACTTAAACTGATGATGCTCCTTCCCCAGCCTCGCAAGTACTCAGACTGCAGACGTGTGTCACAATGCCTGGCTATGAATGTGTGTGTGTGTGTGTGTGTGTGTGTGTGTGTGTGTGTGTGTGTGTGCGTCTGTATGTGGAGGCCAGAAGTAGGTGTTGATGTCTTCTTAATTGTTTTACATCTTATTTCTAAGACAGGGCCTCTCACTGAAGCAAGGGCTTACAGATTTGCCTAGACTGACCAGCAAGCCCTAGGGGTTCCCCTGTCTCCAGCTCCCGAATTCTGGGGTTACAGGCACATAACACATGGGTGCTGGGAGCTATTGAAGTCTTTATGTATGGCAAATACTTCACTGACTGTCTCTCCAGACTTCTGAGTACCTTTCAGTGGAAATGCTCCTGGCTCTTTTTACACAAGATTTT